AGTAGTTCCTTTGGGGTTCATATATAGAATCCTATAAGGTAACCCCCAAAAAAGGAACTACTATGCGGCCTATGGGTAAGGCCAAAATGCAGAAAACGTCCAACCCGGGAGTCCGTGAGATGCAATTTAAGAAAAGACTCATCACTGTGGTAGGTTTAGGGTTTAGGGTTTAGCGGTGTATAGGTTTAGGGTTTAGGGTTTAGGGGTTTATAGGTTTAGGGTTTAGGGTTACATCATGTCGTTTATTTGTGCCGTTCCAGTTGAAACTCCAGGGCTTTCAACAGCGACAGACGGTGTCTCAGAAATCTGGTGCCCAGAGACTCCAAGATCCCTTAACAAAGGAAAATTACTTTAAGTTATAGTAGGAACCCTGATAAGATTTAATAGGGTACATTCCTTAATTAAGGGATATTGGAGTCTCTGGGGGCATTGGCCCCGCAGCGGAAACGTGCGGTCCTGTTCAATCAGCGGCCACCTTTTTGTCTTACACAGCCATAAGCAGCACTTCAAGCCACATGCTTAAAACAAGCTGCACTCTGTCAGTAGAATGTGCAGGCACAAGGACCTTCTTATGGGAGATGTTGCACCTGCAGAGAGGGAGTATTCAAGGCCCAGGGATGCATATAGGACTCGAAGCCCGAGAGCTTGGGCGGCGGGAAGGAAGGGTCCGTGAAGCATCCGACCTTTATGCCAATTCGTGCAGGATCCGCGTCGGCCGTGTACCAAACCGTGGAGCCACACTCCGGGCAGAAATGGAAGACTGCACCGCCTCCGAGACTCACGCAGTTCTTTCCGTACTCGATCTGATCGGCCTCGTCTTTCGGAAGCTTCCAAGACGTCGACTTTCCTTCAATTGTCAACTGTTCTTTTGGGAATCGAGCTTGGACTGCAAAGATATTGCCAGACTGCTTCTGGCACAAGTTGCAGTGGCAAAGGCTGATCCTCTCCGGGTCAGGTCCAGTGACTGTTACACGAAGCTGTCCACAGTTACACTGAGCGATGCGCTTCTTATCACCTGCTTCACTCGCCACAGGTGCAGGACTGGCCCCCGAAGCCTTTGCTGTGGCAGTTGACCTCGGGCCCATGTAAGCAAACGATGCCAGTCTAAACCCTGTCCCACTGATGAGTTCCACCCACAATAGTCCAGCTCTCACGGCCTACTTGATGCTACATACATTTCGTGAGAACATATTATAGGGACAACGTCATGTAAACACGGTCTTGGAACGAGTAATTCGGGTGTTTCTTACAGATGCCACCGCGCTCATGTGCTTCCAAGATGCGCGACAGCTGTCGCCTTCAGCTTGACGACACCTGCTCCGCAACCAATGCCAGCCAAGCACGCTCCACCCAAGGCCGCGAGAGAAGCCATGGCTTCAACAATGCCCCTGGCCCCCAAAAGTCGGAAATCGGATGAAACGGCTGAGCACAAGTATTCTGGGCTTGCAACGGGATGCACCCAGAGCCTTCCAGACCCATCAAAGCCTCCGAAACTCTGCCAAGCTGCTGAGCGTCTTTCGTGCGGCTTACACATGAAAATCGCAGTGCCCGATCCGTCTTCAACTGGAACACAAGACCGAAATGTTTCGATCACGCAAAGACGGGCTTACCGTGAGCTTACGTGGGGCGTTGAAGCATTTCGCTCCCTCAGGCTTGCATCTTCGCTTTCAAAGCGAATGATGTGTAGGTGTGCAGATCGCCAATCGCCAGTCGAGAGAGAGAGAGACACAGAGAGAGAGAGAGAGAGAGCGAGAGCGAGACTGCGGGGCGCAAGCAGCTTGCCCGTCAGCAGGCACAAACACCGACAGGCTTGACACATCTTGACATGATTGTAGGTTCGGAATCGTCGCAGAAGAAAGCTCAGCCCCCTGAACATTGCGGCGCCACTGCCTTAATATAGGGGCCATAACAATTAGAATAGGGTTTTGAGGGCCCCTTATTATATTTATAGCCTAATATACCCCAAAACCCCCTTCTAATTAGTATTTAGGGCCCCCCCCACATATTAGCCAGGGCCTTCTGCGCTCCCTTCTGAGCCCTGGGCAAAGTGCTCGGCCAGCTGAGGCACAGGGCCAAGAGGAGCCTCGACCTCCTGCGGTGACGTAGGGGCCTTAATACTTGGAATAGGGTTTTGGGGGGCTCCTTATTATTATAGTACGATATACTGGGGCCTTAATAGGGCTCCTTTAAAGCGCTCCTTAAAGGGTTCTATAAGGGTTAGGGTTTAGGGGTTTAGCGGCCTTAATCATTGGAATAGGTGTTTTGGGGCTCCTTTAGAGGGTTACCTAAGGGTTTAGGGTTTAGGGTTTTGGGGGGTTCCTTGTTAGAGTTATAGTACGATATAGGGCCTATAGGGCCCAAAACCCTATTCTCATGAGTACTGGGGGCCTTCATACTCGGAATAAGTGTTTTGGGACTCCTTCTAGATGGGTTTAGGGTTTAGGGGCCTAAATAATTACTAATACTATGTTAGGGGGCTTCTTATTATCATTATAGTACGATATATAGGGCCCCAAAACCCTATTCTCGGAATAGGGTTTTGGGGCTCCTTCAAAGGGTTCCTGAAAGGGTTCTATAAGGGTAGGGTGTAGGGGCCTTAAATAATTGCCAATACTATTTCCGGGTTCCTTATTAACTTATTATAATGAAAGTACGATATAATTTCAATGGGCCCCAATGGTTTAGGGTGTAGGGGCCTTAACAATTGGAATAGGGTTCTTTGGGGGCTCCTTTAAAGGGTTACCTAAAGGGTTCTATAAGGGTTTAGGGTGTAGGGGGCCTAAATAATTAGCAACACTATTTTAGGGGGCTCCTTATTATAATTATAGTACGATATAGTGGCCCCAAAACCTTACTCTAATTAGTAACGGGGAGGTTGAAGAGTAATGTAGGGGCCTTAAAGATTGGAATAGGGTTTTGGGGCTCCTTTAAAAGGGTTCGCTAAAGGGTTCTATAAGGGCTTAGGGTCTAGGGGCCTCAATAATTAGACTAGGCTTTTGGGGTAGATTTTGCTAGAATTTAGAATAAGGAAGCCCCAAAATAGTATAGGTACTCATCCCCTTCAGAGTCCCTGTCTAGTCATGCTGCAAGTGAGGGTATTTAGGGTTTAGTGTTTAGGGGTTTAGGTATTGAGGGGGTTTAGGGTTTAGGGTTTAGGTGTTTAGTGTTTAGGGTTCCTTTCCCCTAAGCATGAAGGCGCCTAAAAGCCTCACTGAGCCCTAAGAGCCCCCCCCCACCCCCCAAACTTGGAGCCACCAAGAGCAGCTCATTTGGAGGATCATGGGGCTTAGTAAGTAAGGTTATAAGTCCTTTAATTGGGGTTATAAGTCCCTTAATTGGGGTTATAAGTCCTTTAATTAGGGTTATATCTCCTTTAGTTAGGGTTATAAGTATAGTTACCTTAGTTATAACCCTACTTACTAAGTCCCATGATCCTTTAAGCATGCGTCCTCGCAGTCCCATGTCTCCCCACCATCGGTGCTGCCCTGGCAATCCTTAGTTGCTGAGTACAGAAGCCACCAAAAAGTCTACACCTTCAGTTTTAGAGTGGGTAATATTATCCCCAAAAGTGTAAAGTGTATCCACTCAGCTACTAAGAATCTTGGCAATGTGGGAGTTTCCGAATATTAGGGTACCGTATTTGGGGGTCCTTAGAATAAGGATCCTCTTACTTAGAGTACTATATTAGGGTCCCCTATTTTCGGAAACCCCCATGTTGCTTTGCGTTAAGGGAGGAGGATGCTGGGGTCTCTTTCCACCCCAGCTTGGAGTGACCCGAGCCGGGAAAGACTGAGCTTTTTACGGTTCTCGGTTCAGGGTTTAGGGTTTGGGGTCTGGGTTCCAGGGTTTAGGGTT